GCTCTGCTGGACAGGTGAGTCTATCAGATCTCAAGGCTAATTTTACTTGCAAGGCTGTTCCCAAAATGCATTCGGAGCTTACAGTAAGTATTGAGCAGCAAACTTGTGTTTTTCCAAAGTGATGAAGCTTATGCATCTCATTGTACTAACTTAAATTGCATATCACGGCAGACATCTCAAAATACATAGTCTTCTGGGGGCTAAGCATATATTCATACATTTCTGTAGAGAGGAATATAGGCCTCCTGTCATATAGGTTGTGTTATCGGGCATCCTTCTAATTCCCTTGAACAACCAAGATTGAATTTTTGAACTCTTTATAATTTCTATGATCTAGTCCAGTTAAAGTCCAGGGGAGGAAGCCCCATCATAGTCAAGAGGATACTAATGTGATGTGTGTAGTTCTTCATAGCCTCTTCATTTTGCTCTCAAAGTGCACGGAATTGATGGATTTTTAACAGAATGTCGAAAAAATTTCTCCCCGGGGGGGCACGACCCCGGACCCCCCTAAAGGGGCTGTGTTCCCCTTGGGGCTAAGCCCCCCTTGTTCTTGAAACCTAGTGACGCCCCTGGGGGGGGGGGGGCTGACCGTTCAAAATGCGTTTCTTGTTTGAATCTCACCTCTTATTGGTCTGTTTGAATTTTTTCCTCCTCCTTTTTTCTCCCATTGGATCAGGGCATTTCCGGGTAACTTTATAAATGGGGGCCTGCTCAGTTTTCGTTACTTCACTGAACTGCCACACGCAGCAATGGAAGAGCACGATATGAAAGAGGACGAGGAGGGAGAATTGAATTCTTCAACAGCCTCTTCCTTCGTGAACTCTGAAGGGGAGTCTGATAACGATTATTTCCCTCCAAACTCGACAGAAGAGGAAGACTCTGAGGAAAATGCGGAGGAGGAGGAGGAGGAGGAGGAGGAGGAGGAGGAAGAAGGGGGACAGCAGCTGATACAGGAGAACGACCAGGAGGAATATGACGACATGTGGTTATCAAAGGACAAAAAGATTTTGTGGTCCTCGAGCAATGAGGTGGCAGGACATTATGTCCCCCCTCGAATCCCCTCCTCTGGGCCAACATTGTATGCTATAGCCAGGATCAAGAGCCCAGAGACAACATTTAACCTTTTTTTCCCAGATAACATCATCCAGCTGATTTTGGACATGACCAACCTACACGGAAAGAGGACCCTCAAGGGCTGGGTAACCCTAACGGCACAGGAGCTGCGGGCATACATGGGGCTGCTGATCCTGGCTGGTATGTACCGATCTAAAAACGAAGCTACGCTCAGCCTCTGGGACAAGGAGATGGGACGTCCGGTGTTCGCCGAGACAATGACGCGTGGGAGATTTGCGTATATCAGCCGCGCCCTGCGCTTTGATGACGAGCAGCGAATGCCACAGCGTCACCAAAGAAACAAAATGTTCCCAATTGAGGACCTCTGGTTGAAGTGGAGTAGCCTCCTACCAAAGATGTTTTACCCAGGGAGGGATATTTGCATTGATGAGCAGCTCGTCCCCTTTAAGGGTCGCTGCCCCTTCAGGCAGTACATGCCCTCCAAACCAGCGAAATACGGATTGAAAATCTGGGCGCTTTGTGATGTCGCCACCTCATACGCATGGAAGCTTGAAGTGGACACAGGGACACCTCCAGAAGGACAGCGGGAAACAAACGTTGGCATGCGAGTCGTTCTGAACCTGTGTACCGCTTTGGAGGGCCACACGGTCACAGTGGACAATTTTTTTTCCTCAATACCCCTGGCTCTGGAGTTAAAAAAAAAGAAAATGACTCTCGTCGGAACCATCAGGAAAAACAAACGGGAGCTCCCTCCACAACTCCTCCAACTGACCAGTAGACTTCCCCTTTCAAGCGAATTTGCTTTTACAAACTACATGACCTTGGTGTCTTACATCCCCAAAAAGGGAAGAAACGTTTTGTTGTTAAGCACAAAGCACCATGAACCAGAAGTGGCGGGAGAAAAGAAAAAGCCGAAAATTATATTGGACTACAACAAATGCAAAGGCGCAGTGGATCACCTGGACCGCGTAAGCACACCTTTTGTCTTTCATCAAAGCTTTCTATCGAAGCTGTATTGTCATCTGTTTGTTTGTTTACAGGCATGTGGCGCGTACTCTACCCGCAGGCGGACACTAAGGTGGCCCGTGACCCTTTTTTACCACATGTTGGATACGTCTTGCTTCAATGCGTTTGTCTTGTACACACAAGTAAACCCAAACTGGAACAGCCAAAAACTATACAAACGGCGGGTTTTTCTGTCAGAAGTCGCAATGGCGCTTGTTCAGCCTGAAAGTCACAAAAGACGGGCAAAGAACCCTCCAGTTACAAAGAACCTCACAGTTACGGATGGCCAACAGGCTGAAGTGGTAGTACACCCCCGGAGAAGAAGGCAGTGTGCACATTGTGTAAAACGACTGAGAGCATCAAATTCCTGCTCTAAGTGTGACAAAGCGATCTGCCACAAACATACCAAGGCAACTTGTTTTAATTGTTAAAAAAACAAAAAAGGGTTGATTGTGTTTACTCTTGTATTTGTATTTGTTTTACTGCATTGACAAATTCTGTTACATCAAAATTTTGAATAGTTGTGACATTTTTAACTTTTCAAGGTTATAATTACCACACACACACAAACATATATTTAACTCTCATACTATTCGTAATGGTCATACTACTTTTATTGTTTTAATACAGGGCAGATTAAAAAAAGGCAAAAAATATACGCATGGCTATGTCTGACGCCACGAAACACTTTGAGTGGTTGAATAACAAGAATAAATCTGAAATTACTTCGTTTAAAACCTCAAACGCAGAGCCAATCTCAGGATATATTTTGCATTTAAAGGATTTTGTCTAAAAAAAATAAAATTATTCAATACTATTCAATACTCTTGTGAAATACCCCCCCAAAAATGTTTATATATATATATATATATATATACATACATACATATATATATACACGCACACACAAAACTTACAAAAAGTTGGGAATATTCGGCTTTCAGGTAAAGTTTATGGAAAATGTAAAAAGTTCACACGACATTAAAGTAGGACATTTAAGAAAGATGCACTGGCGATTTCCTCATATCAAACAATTGAAATAAAAGTTAATGGTGGGCACCCCACAACAACAAAAAAAAAAAATCCATCTTGACAAAATCTCATGCTGCTAACAAATTGATTTATTGTCTACGGAGGTATGGCATCACACTCTTTTTGAAGGGCAGCCCTCAGGTCATTGAGGTTCTGAGGTGCAGTTTTGAGTCTCTGCACAGGACTCAGTTGATCCCACAGGCTTTCAATAGGATTCAGATTTGGAGAACGTGCAGGCCGTTCCATTTGAGGTTCACCAGTCTCCAACAGCCGTTCCCTGATGATGCAACCTCAGTGAGCTCGAGCTTTGTCGCCCATTAAAATGAAATTAGGCCCATGTTGTTCATGTAGGGGCACAATGACTTGATTAATGTTATACAGGTAGTATGGGATTTTCACAAAAGGGCAGTTCTGTTCCGACTGGATAGATACACCTTGCCGTCACTGTTAACACCGCTGCCACCATATCTCAAACGTTGTTGGCCATCATTTCTGCTCAAGGTGAATTGACTTTCATCAGAGAACAACTCAGAGAGGCCCACCGTAAATGCTCATGCAAGATGAGGACGCCTGTGCCTGATGGTGTGGTCAGGTACCCTTGCAGGCGATCTAGCACGCAGACCACGCTGATGTAAACGACTTCGAATGGTCTGACGTGACACATGGCTACCTCTCACCTCCCTTAAACGTGCTTGGAGTTGAGTGGCCTTCATCATATGGTTTCTCAGGGCATTGTTCACAATGTAGCGGCCATCAGCATGCGATGTGGCCAAAGGACAGCCATTTCCACATCGTTCTGTGACGCTTCCAGTCTCTTGGTAGCTTTGTTGCAACCTGCCGATGAACACTTTGTGACACTCTAAGCTCAGTGGCCACTTCCGTTTGAGAACGTCCTGTTTGAAGCATCTCAATGGCAAGGTACTGTTGATCCATCGTTAGGTGTCATGATGTCAAAATGAATGCATTTTAAGCTCATCCTGAAATTTCACCTGAAAGCAAAATATTACTAACTTTTTGGGAGGGGTGTGTGTGTGTCTCTCTCCCCACACATTTGTATATTCACATACATAGACACCCCGCATATTAAGCAGTTTCAGATAAAACACACACACATCATAGTTAAGTTTTCCTATTGGTATAATACTGCCGTTATGGTCTATAGAGGGCATAAAAAAAATACCTAAGTATGTAATTTGCGAATTTTCCCAGTGTGGGACAAATAAAGGTTATCTTATGTATGGATAGCTCCGATGTCACTGAATATTTTGATTAGTAGGAAGAAAAAAAATGCACACCTCAAATGCAGAGCCAGTCTTGAGACAAATGTTGCGTTTTGTGGCTGCCGCCCCGATGCAAATGTGTGGCTAATAATTTAACGGCAAAGCTGCAAGTATGTTTGGCTTATTTTGTAAACGTGCTTATAATATCAGTCCGAACCTCAGCAGCGACAAACCGCACCACGTCACTGTTCATGGGGCGGGGGGTCCGTAGGGAGCAGTAGACACTGAAATAGGCAACATAAGTGCGAGCAAAAAGTTCTGAAGTTGGTGTCGTTCTCTCTTCTGCGATCCTCTCCTCTGCACTGCTACCTCAGTCCTCTTTGGGCTTGTTTCAGTAACGAATCAAAGTCAAGCTCCTGAAACCTGCTCTTGGCTGGAGACGGCTCTGCATCCACTTTTGCATCTGAGGAACACAGTTTGATAACATGTTCAGTGATCCGGGGTCGGCTTCAAACTGTCCAATTTTCGACGAACAATAGGTTCATGATAACAGCGCACTTTCTGGAAAAATGTACAGTACAGTGGAAGCTCTAAATCTGAATGCCCTTTATGTATTCCAGCAACATTTAAGGAAAAATGATACCTTTGAACGTGCACAGAAGTTTTGGAGTTCCAACCATCGCCTGCATGCGGCTCAGACATGACATGAAACTTCGGGAGCGTTGCTTTTAAATGAGCTGATATGAACGCAGGTATATTTGGCAATATATACTGGCGCAATTGGCAGAGGTGCAAGTTCACATCTGATTCTCTGCTCAACATAAAGTAGAGTAAAAGTGGTTCGCAATCTATTAAATAAAAAAATTAGAATGTCTTTATATGTAACAATGAGTACAAAATGTACTAGAATTGCTCAGAGGGAGCAATTGTGAGTTTATCGATTGGATTATTTTTCATTTCACCTATTTCCCATGCCAAACAAATGAAATCCTCGCAACTCAGTTCAGTTCCGAGTAGTGTCTACAAACGAATTGCGTTGGGCCTCAGAGGTTCCACTGCACCTGCCTGGTTACACTCACCTAAATCGGCATAGTCTGAATTACAAAACTGTCTTCTGCCTCCAAAGCAGATGTCAAAGGGCAGCTCATCGGGTCTTCTTAGTTTTGCACCATTGTCGATGGCTGCAAATGCATCATCCATGCGGTAGAACGTAACAAAGCCATAATGGTCACTTTGGGAAGCAAACAAAACCATTTTAGTACTTCACAATATGGACTCACAGCACACAGGAGAAATTTTGGGTGTACCTACCCTTGATCTCTAAAGTGCAGCGACACGCATTCTACTTCTCCGAAATAAGAGAAGCGCTCCCTCAGTTCATCGTGCGTCATGGACCTGCGGATGCGGCCGACGTACACAACTCTGCGCTCATCCTTTGGTAAAGAAATTTTAGATGCAAATGAGCACGTGTTGGACAGCAGATAATCACTCAGACACCAGCTGACATGTTTGGGGGGTAACGGAACACATGTACTGACATTACGTATTCAGGAAAAGAAGAACTAAAGAAGAGTAACCTCCTGAAATGAGGCCATGATTGAGAGGGACGGCCGGGGGTAGTCGTATTGTGTTGCTTGAGGTGACATTTTTGGACCGCCGCAAGACGGGCCAGGGCTAAAGCATTTGCCAAGAATGTTTTCATGAATCAAGAACGAAAGTCGGAGGTTCAAAGGCGATCAGATACCGTCGTAGTTCCGACCATAAACGATGCCGACTCGCGAATCAGCGGCATCATTCCCATGACCAGCCGGCCAGATCCCGGGAAACCGCCAATCTTTGGGTTCAGGGGGGGGGGTATGGTTGCAAAGCTGAAACTTAAAGGAATTGACGGAAGGGCACCACCACAAGTGGAGCCTGCGGCTTAATTTGACTCAACACCGGAAACCTCACCCGGCCCGGACATGGACATGATTGACTGATTTTCTCGATTCCGTGTGTGGGGGTACATGGCTGCTCTTAGTTGGTGGAGTGATTTGTCTGGTTAATTCCGATAACGAATGAGACTACGGCATGCTAAGTAGTTACGCAGCCCCCAAGCAGATGTCATGCGGCCTCGCGGGGAGGGTCGGTCTGTAGCCGGGCATTCGTCCCCTGCCCGGCCAGGCCTCCTAACCCGACCAGCTGATAGGACAAGACTGTTGGACTTACTATGGCTTTCAGCTTCTGAAGTCTTGCCTTGTGTTCCCTCTTCAGTTTCCAGGACTTTCTGGTGATGGAGAGATAACATTTTAGTAATAGCAAGACGACATTTCTATTATTACAGCGATACATTGAATAATAAGTGCCTCAACTAGTGGGTTTTTCAAAGGACAAGCCTATGCTTGGTCGATTTTTTGCCTTGTGGTGTGAACCAAAATTTTAAGGTGCAAGCAAGCTTCAGATACACCGCCATTCGGGTGGAAAATAAAGAGCAATTAAGGTACTGTACCACATCAGCATGTGGGTAAACAGCCAGTCACGATTCACTTCCAGATATTTCTTCAGCAAACATTCATTCACACAAATACAAAATGTCAACAAGGAGCTGCTGTATGCCAGTACTTACGCCTTGACACACACATACAGAGTAACAGGCTAATCTGACCCATCTCCATTGTCACCCAATTGACTTAAAGGGGAATTCAATCCATAAATTTTCTTCAAAAAATGTTCAATGCACCCTCACTAGTCTAAACACGGCATTCAGCTCAGGGCTCAGGTAACAATTAATCACGGCGCACCGGTTTTCTGAAGCTGAGCCATGATAGGTTGTTACCTGGGTGCCGAGCATCTGTGACTTAAGTTTATGTCTTAGTAGTGCTTTCTTTAATTGTGTTTCTATACGATACAGCATAGTTTGCCAATTGAATACTTTTTTTGGGGGTGGGGGTGGGCAGAGAGGTCTGGAACGGGTGAATGGCATTTTAATTCATTTTATTGGGGAAAATGTATCTGCTCGACAAGTAAATACATCAAATGAATGAAACTTGCAAGTTACGGTACGATTCTATTTTCATCACTAATTGGGTAGTGTGGCTATCCAAACCCCTTCATTTGCAAACTCACCTGTAAACGTTTCTCCTGCGCGTATGAAAAGTTGGTGAGGAAGGAGACGGCGACCGGGAGCGAGACCATGATTGGGGTCTCGATCTGTTAGATGTTAAACACGTACAAGACAGTTTGCGGCGCCGAGGCGGGGAAGGGGAGGCGGAGCGAGAAGGGGACGATGACCAAGACCTGCTTCCTGAATGCTCACAATGGGACCTGTGGACACGCACGCACAAATAACAGTTGAGCACAAAACGCTAACTGAAGATCAAGAGAGGGTAACGCGACTACCTTTTTGGGGAGCGGGATGGAGAGCTGGACGATGATGACGAGCAAACGTCAGAGAGTGGGGATCTTCTCGAGTATCTCCTCTTCTCTCGCCCTCTGCTCGGAGGGCTGGGTGGAGGTGTAAGTTGGGTATATGAAGGGGCTGTCGGGGTGCAAGTGGATGAGGCTGACTGGTATTTCTCATCAGTTCTGACGGGAGAGTCACATTTCATGATGGAGATTTGATTGCACTTAACAAAAGAGGAGGTCTCTTCCACTTCACGAGTGTTCCTGAGAAGAGAAGGAGGGGCTCTTGGATGCAAATCATCCACAGGCATGCAGTAATCGTGATCTGTGGACACCGATGAACATATGTGAGGAGGTGCAGCGAGATCTGTCGCGTTTGTCTTCCTGCATGGCAAAGGGCGAGGATCAATGATCTGAATGCCCTTGGATGCTGGTGTTCTCCGTTTTACACTGACAACTTCCTGAGTGTCGAGAATGACTTCAGTGCTGACAGGCTCAGGAGCGACTTGTTCCAAGTTTCTTTGGCGCTCCAGATATTTGATGGCGCGTTTTGCTTTCATGGAGTACAAAGTTCTGACAGGTTTGGGTTCTTTCGTGGAGGTCTGCATAGGCATAGAGTTCCTCTCAGTGTCTTTGTGCAGATTTGCGGGTAAAGCATTTGAAAATATAGCTGGATCGGCCTCTTCAGCTGCAAGGGAGACAACCACAATGGGTCATGTGTGCAAATGCGCATTATACATTACACTTTATACATACAAGGGGAGTTCACAATTGCACTTTCTCAGTTGTCCAGATTTTTTGCGTGTGGCTAAAACGGGGTGCAGTGACGCACTTGGGCCCGTGGCATGAGTTGGCCCTGACCGACAAAAATGGACTTGTGCAATCTTTCCTGCACATCTTCTCTTGGAAGTCAGTGGCTCACGTTTCAGTGAGTCTGACGTTTGTATCTTGCTGCTGGCGCTAATCTCTCACTCCAGTCAGCTGTTCAACTGAGGGGTGGGTGTGCCAACAGAGCTGTGCCAAATTCAAATAATTAATTTGCCTCAGAGCAATATTGTGACCATTTTTTTTTTTTTTTAATGAGAGCAAGCATTGATCTTTTGGGACACTGCTTGAATTTGCGGGACACATAAATTGAGCTCCAAACCCTGTATGTGCATGCGCTATGCGGGACGATTGGTCACCCTAATGCTCTACTGTGGCCAACAGTACAAAATTTGGAATCATATGCTGGACAACATTGTTTCTGGAACAGATATATCGACGTCCGGTCAGTCAGTAAAATTACAAAAGTGAAACCAAAATGACCAACTATCTACATGTACTGTATTTGAAAACAACAACAAAAATATAGTATGCCAAAGAATCACTTTGTTTCTCCTCAAACTGCTCCAACAAGCTGGTAAGGTCACAGGCTTCAATCCCTTCAACAGAAGAAACAGAGAGTGAGGTCAACAATTTCCTTGTTTCTGCGTTATCCATCCATTATCTAAATCGTTCATACCAACATCATCTGATAAAAGTCGTGCATGTGTTTGGTCTGTACCTGACTCAGCTGCAGCACTTAGGTTGCGACAGGTATGTTGAAATGATGGTCGTGCTTTCTCGGAAAGAGAACATCCTGTGGGGCCCTCTGCTAACACTTTCCTGACTGACTGGCCTTGGTCACACGTTACTGGATCCGAATTTACTGACTGAGAAATATGAGGCATGAGGTTTTGTGGTTTCCTGCATTCTGAACTGGATTTTGTTTGAGGCGTAATTGGGAAGTAGCACTCCACTTCATTACTCGAATGAGGTTCCACAGTGGACTGTGGTATTTGTGATGCTGCAACTGAGTGTTCAACGCTGGACATGAGAGAAGAGTGAGAATTAGATGGGTTGGGCATCGGGCTAACAGGCAAGTGAATGATGACAGGGTTTGGGGGATCAGTGCTGAGCGGTGTCCGATTCTTTAATGGACTTGTCTTGCTTGCAGCTCCTTTAACTGGGGGGTCTCTGTGCTCATCACTGCACTTTGAACCATCAAGTGAGGTATGTTCAGATTCACTTTGAGGTGATTTGGATCTGCGATGCCGAACAGCCAACAATGGCTTCTTGTCGAGTGGTCCGGGAGGATGACGACATGTTGTCTTGCAAGGAGCTCTTTGGCGTGGATCCGGACTGATTGTAGACTTTTCTATCAGGTGGAGTGAAGACTTCATCTCACAGAGGTTTTGTCTCTGCCCATGTGAACAGAGAATGGGGGTCAGTTCTTTGGGGGGCTTGGGAACAGAGGGCCACCTGGTCGTGTTACTCCCCTTTTTCTCCACCAGAGGCTGCCTTTTCTGTCTCATCTGCCTGTACTCTTGGAGGCTTAGCGATTTGGCTTTGCCCTCACCTTTTGGTGGTGGAGCCTCAGCCTGGTTATTTAAGTCTGATAATATCGATGCTGTTGTTGGGGCTACAAGTAATGGGTCGTTGGGTGTATCTGCAGCGGCGACGCTTGGGAGAGTCTTCTCATCAAATCCAACCTCCACAGACTGATCAAATGAAGCCACTTGAACGGGGCCGAAACTGACTTTTTTCTTTGCTTTGGGGAACAGACCTTTGGATGATTTGCTCGTGAGGAATGCGCTTTTTAGTGGTGCGCTGCTCTCTTTTTTTGCAATCCCCTCTTTACCTTCTCTCTCTTTCAGGGGGGTATCATCATCATCAGATACGACATTAATGTCTTCATCACTGTCTGCAGTTGGCTTCTTATACTTCCATACTTCTCCCTGGGAGAACATTGTGTGTTTCTGCTGTAGTTTGTCCCAGGGCGATAGTGGTCCAGCTGTGCCCCGGTGGTCTCTCCCCTCCTCCTCCACATGCATCTTAAGGCAATAGGGATGCATGAGTTTCACTAGGTTGACCAGAGAAGATGTAGTAAAGATGTTCACTTGAGTATCTGCTTTCTTATTTGGACCTTGAAACAATGTCCGACTTTGGTGTTGGAAGACTGGCTGAAGTCTGGCTACTTTGCTCTTGTCTTCTTTTCCTGCGCCATTTGTGGTTCTCGGTCTAAGTTTGGCGGTAAAGGCTACCTCATCCTAAAAAGAGATGGAAACATAGGAAATAGTTCAGATGTTTTGCCACTACAATCTGGCCCATGCCAATGTTGTCAGATGACAACATTTTGAAGAATGACGTATATTGTTTGACTGAACGACAAACAGCATGACGCGATTCTCATGAAAAAAGCAGATTGCCCTGGTTGCTATAGTTATTTAGAGCACAGGTGTCAAACCTAAAGTCTGGAGGCCAAATTTGTCCTGCCACGTCCTTTTATGAGGCCCACGAAAGCAAATCATGTGTGTCACCTGGCACGATCCTTGCTAAAATGTGCACCGAAAAATTGCCATGTGTAATAAATAAGAAATGAGATTTTGCAATAATGTTGTTACCCTGTTTACACTCGAACAATAATTGAACAAACTATTAAAGTTGACTAATTTCAAACCTGGTAATCCATCAATTTGTGGTCTACAAGTAATAATACGATGAGACGATTAATTTGGTTTCGGTGTCAAAATGGCCCTCCGAGGGAAGATGCAACTCCAAAGTGGCCCTTGACAAAAATGAATTTGACACCACTGAATTCGAGGAAAGGCTGAGAAGAAAGGAGAAACTGTGGATAAAGCCCAAAATATGACAACAAGAGGTTATTTTTAAAGATAGTCACCAGGTTTTTAGATGTGGATCACACCGTTTGCAAATTTCTCCAGGGTGCATCCACAACATCTTTTGAGAAGCTGCTGGCAATGATAGCTGCATTTATTTACCGCAAGAACAACAACTTAGGTGCATCCAATTTGTGGGCAGAAATACTCTCTACACTTCTGCTTTTTCACCACAGTAACATTTTGAAATTATGAATATATATATAT